CCCTTCCTGGACTACCGCACCTACGCCGTGCGCGTGCTCTTCCCGGGCATCGAGGCACACCCGGTGCTCAAGGAGCTGGATGTGAGAGCCCCTCCCCGGCCTGGCCTGCCCCTCCCCCTGCCCCTCGGGCGTCCCCCAGACTCCCTGCTCCCCGCAGACATCCCCCAACGTCGAGAAGGCCCTGCGCCTCTTCGGGCAGCTGCTGCACAGCCGTGCCTTCGTGCTGACCTTCATCCACACCCTGGAGGCCCAGAGCACCTTCTCCATGCGCGACCGCGGCACCGTGGCCTCGCTCACCATGGTGGCCCTGCAGAGCCGGCTCGACTATGCCACCGGGCTGCTCAAGCAACTGCTGGCGGACCTCATCGAGAAAAACCTCGAGAGCAAGAACCACCCCAAGCTGCTCCTGCGCAGGTACCGGCCGGGCTGGTCCCACCCCTGGCTAGGCCTGCGGCCCTGCCTGGGCCCGCGCCCTGAGCACCCATGTCTGTTCCAGGACCGAGTCGGTGGCGGAGAAGATGCTCACCAACTGGTTCACGTTCTTGCTCCATAAGTTCCTGAAGGTGCGTGTGCGGGCTGTGGCTGGCAGGGGCGGCGGCGGCGGGCTGGCGGCTGGCAGGCAGCGGCGAGCCCTGCGCCTGGCCGGCTGCAGGAGTGTGCAGGGGAGCCCCTGTTCCTGCTGTACTGTGCCATCAAGCAGCAGATGGAGAAGGGGCCCATTGACGCCATCACGGGCGAGGCTCGCTACTCGCTGAGCGAGGACAAGCTTATCCGGCAGCAGATTGACTACAAGACGCTGGTGAGGGGTCAGACCGAGGGGGTGGGGCGGGCCGCACCTCCTGCCAGCACTGAGCGCGGGGGTCCCCTGGCTCTCAGACCCTGTACTGTGTGTGCCCGGAGAGCGAGGGCACTGCCCAGGTTCCCGTGAAGGTTCTCAACTGTGACAGCATCACCCAGGCCAAGGAGAAGCTGCTGGACACTATGTACAAGGGCGTCCCCTACTCCCAGCGCCCCAAGGCCGAGGATATGGACCTGGGTGAGACTGCCACTCCCTCCCCGAGCTGTGCTTGGCCACCGCCCAGGCCACGGGCTCAGGCTCTCGGGGCGGCTGTGGGAAGCCTCACGGGCTGTCTGCGGCCCACAGAATGGCGCCAGGGCCGCATGGCCCGCATCACCCTCCAGGACGAGGACGTCACCACCAAGATTGAATGTGACTGGAAGAGGGTCAACTCGCTGGCCCACTACCAGGTGCAGGGCCGGGAAGGAGCAGAGCCCGGTGGGCAGTGGCTCTCGGCCCCCAGTCCCTGCACGGCTCCCTCTTTGTCTCTGGGGTGTCTAGGTGACAGATGGTTCCTTGGTAGCACTGGTGCCTAAACAAGTGTCCGCGTATAACATGGCCAACTCCTTCACGTTCACTCGCTCCCTCAGCCGTTACGGTAGGTCCCCCAGTACAGCCTTCGCCACACTGTGTCCTGGGGCTCAAGCAGGTGGGCAGGGGAGACCGAAGGCTGAAGGCTGGCCAGCTCCTGATGTCCAAGTGGCCGGCTTGCCCCTGGTGGCCTTCCCAGAACTGGGCCCTGCCCGGTTCAGGGAGCTCAGGAGCGGGGTGGGCCGGAGAGAGCAGAGGCCTCCCGGACAGCGTGGGTGGCCCTGCCGCTACGGGCTGTGCTGTCTGTCCTCTGCCCCAGAGAGCCTGCTGCGTACGGCCAGCAGCCCCGAGAGCCTGCGTTCCCGGGCACCTATGATCACACCTGACCAGGAGACGGGCACCAAGCTGTGGCACCTGGTGAAGAACCATGACCACCTGGACCAGCGCGAGGGTGATCGTGGTAGCAAGATGGTCTCGGAGATCTATCTGACGCGGCTGCTGGCCACCAAGGTGGGCCCGCCCGGGGAGGGGGCTTTGGAGCCTTAGAATTCAGTGGGCTTTCACCAAGGCCTCTGCTGTGGAAGCTTCTGGCTTGTGACCGAAGGCAGCCCTGGCCCGTGTCAGAGCTCGGTCCCGCAGGGCAGCCTCTCTGCCCCCATCGTGCTGCTCTGGGGCCATCACGGCCTGTGCCCTTGCTTGGCTCCCCCAGGGCACTCTGCAGAAGTTCGTGGACGACCTCTTCGAGACCGTGTTCAGCACGGCCCACCGCGGCTCAGCTTTGCCGCTGGCCATCAAGTACATGTTCGACTTCCTGGATGAGCAGGCCGACCAGCGGCAGATCAGCGACCCCGACGTGCGGCACACCTGGAAGAGCAA